TTCGCTTATCCACTTGATGTTTCAGTTTTCGTTTCGCTTTAGTTATGCCGTCGGTTTTAGCCTGGCTTAATTGTGTGCTTTTGTGTGTGGCATTGCCAGGACATTTGCATGGATACAAAGTGCCATTCGCTGGTGATTAAATTTTCAGTTTTACAAACTCGGTTCACTAATTGAAATTGCTTTTTCAAAAAGCTCCTATTTGGGGTTTGTTGGGATACAAGAAGATGCCGTCATATTTCCAAACACATAGCCCTTGGCGTCAAATTAACTCATTATAATTTGTGGGTCGAGGGGAGGTGCTGTGGGGTTGTATCCTGTCGCCCGATTCCCTGAGCAAACCCATTTAGGCACGTTGCAAATTGAAAATTTGTTTCGCAAAACTCAATTGCCGCATAAATAGTTTAGCCCAAGCTGCAGCTGCAGCTGTGCCCCATAAAGTATACGACCCGTGTTGCATATACCTCCATCCCCCTACCCCCATTGCAGCTTATTAATTACCGATGGCCCCGCGGCAGCCAATATGGCATCAATCCAGCCATCCGTCAGTGCAGCAAGTATCTATAGCATCGGTAGCAGTATCTGTGTGCATTAGATTTTAATTGCACGTAATTTAACATGACTTGCCACTGATGCCGATCCCGTTGCTGTGCCAGCGGATTTATTACAAAGGAAATGTGATTGACGTCAAGCACTTGGCTCTGGGCAATGTGCCACGAAATGAAAGGATTTTCCAACGCATCTCGATACTCGACAGCCGCCATTGCCACCGCATCCGCAACAAATGAAACGTATATTGTGCAATAAAAGCCATCAATAACCGGGCTCTAGATGTCAATTGAAGGAAAGAACTGGAAACTAGAAACTATAGAGACTAGAAACTATAGAGCCAAGTAGACGACAACAAGTGCTGGCGGTAATTGTATGAACTGAAAGGAGCTGGCCAAGTGAAAAGGAGTAGCTTCATGCCGAGGGGAAATTATGCCAATCAATTACCAAATGGAAAATCTATAACCACACATTCGTATTTGATGAACTAAATAAAATATAATCAAGCAAATGGCCAACACACAACTTTGATGGGAGTAAATTGGTAGAGAAAGCCTAAGAAAATCCGTTTATTTCAAGCAAATACATTTGTTTTGTTATGGAAAACATAGAAGGCTTTAGATTACTTAATAACAAATAAAAGCAAGAAAATAGTCTTTTAAATAAATTTTAAGAATTTATTTAAAACAGATTTAAGGGTAAGCCTCCTGATGCAAAATAATTGCATGTAATCGAAATTTAATTCTTTCCGAGTTTCCCAAATTCCCTTCAACAATTACTATCTACAAGGGGCCCTTAAAATTTAAAATTCCATATTTCAAGTATCAATTTCGAGAATCCCCAGCAGCAGTAAAAACTAAAAACGTGACCATAAAATCTTTTGCAGACCCGCATAAAGCCTGGAATGGCCCAAGCAATTTGACAGCTGTTGATGGATTCGAGAGAACTATAACTATAACAAGCCCATTGAGTGCCGGCAGTCAGCGGGAACTTTAATGCCTGAAAAGGAGCTTCGGCTTTCGGCGTGGGAAATCAATAAGCGTGTCCTGGAGGCAGTCCTGGCATTCGCGTCGCGACCTCCGGCGGAGTATAACACCCGATAACGGCCGCTGGATTTATCCCCCGACAAGCCGGCGAAAGAATTGCAGCAGTAAAAATTGGCAGTGACAAGCGGCAAGGATGCTGGGTACCCTGGATGTGGCAGGATACCACCACCACACCCACCGACAGCAACAACGACAAGTAACTGATGGCGCCACGAAACTGCGACGCCATTTGTCTGCCGAAATAGGAAGCAGCTCACAAAAAAATTTGTGGAGCGCTCCGAGCATGACCTAGAAAAATAAACTTGAAGGAGGTTTGAGGTGGCATTGCCTGGCTCTAAGGACATTTAAGCCGGGGCCATGTGCGGAATGAATTGATTTATTAGCATTCAATATTCACCACAGCATAATTAGTTTTTGTTTGTTTGTGCAAATTGATTGAGTGTCTGTGTTCGTGGAGCTCATTTATTAAAGCCATCCCGCATAATGTTTATAATTTAATTAGTTTTCATTTGAGCCAATTTACGCGTAGGAATGATCAGTATTCGCTGCTTGGCATTTCTTTTGATTTGTTTGAGAGACAAACAGAAAAACATATTAATTAATGCTGATGAAAGGTAATTTAACACCAGAATAGACTTTAATTCGCATTAAGCGATTAAATTCATTTCGAAATTAATAACATTTTATTTGATAAAGATTGAAATGCAACTCATTTGTCGTTTTGCTGAAAATTTAATTAATAGCCTTGATGTATGGATATAGCTTTAAAAATGTATTTTAAATTGTTTTAAATGTATTATCTAGCAATTTATACTTGTTTTTAAGTTCTGAATTTATTTATAAAATACCTAAAGTAACTTTCTTTACACCTTTCTTTATTTAGTTTTGCCTTGCAAAAGCATCTCTTTTAAAATTCATTTAAATTCAAATGTTACCCAGACTTATGCATAAATCACTCAAAGGCTTAAGCTTATCTTGTCCATCGACTTGTAAACAAATTTGAAAAGCCATAATTCTTGCCCTGATAATGTCATGGAAACGTCAAACCCTTGTCTGATTATTTTCAATTTAGCTTTTTGCAAAATAAAATCCTTTAAAAACACCCTTTCATTTCATAAATATCACGCCACAATCTCAGCCCTTATTCAGCATTCAAAGCGCTGGGTTAGCTTTAAATATGTTTTAATTTTGGCATCATGACTTCATAGCGATATTATCGATTTCCCAATGCTTGCCAAATACAAAAAAAAAAAGGAAAAGGAAAGAAGAAAAACCATTTTTACCCGGCAAATGGCCAATGCCAAGAGGTTGATGGTGGAGCATTATTTTGGGGGTCGACTGGCGCCGTCTGGTCGGGCAGAAAACAAAGTGTAACCTTAACACACGCGGTCCACCTCCTCCTCTCCCCCTCTCTTACCCATTTTCCTCCCCATTTTCCGACCTCTTTTTCCCTTGGCAGACAATAGACAGACAGCGCCGTTCATTACAGCCGACGGAGCGTAGGAAAAACAAACAAGTTTTCCTTTTCCTGATAAAGCATAAAACTGTCGTCAAGGCTTTGCCAGCTTTTTTTGCACTCTTCGAAATAATTTAAGGATGTCGATGTGTCCTTTTAATTAAAGAGAACTTAAATATCGCTGAATATAAGCTAAAATTATTCTTCTTAGTAAGTTATTTAGTTTAATTTTAAGAAGGCATAATCTATGGACAAATATAACAATTTTTCTCTTTGTGTTTAGGCTGGTCGCTGGGCACCTGCAAGGACAATTCTCGCATGTTTTTCGGAGGGAGAGGGGGTGGCGTCATAATAAGGCAAACACAATGGCCAGGATTAAGTGGGTCCAAAGTGCAATGTGCTCGTCCTTTGCTTTGTTGCCATGTCCTTTGTCATCGTTGCAGTTTGCCGCCCCACAGGAGCCCGCAGGCTGTTGCTGTTGCTGCTGCTGTTGCTTGTTTGTTGCCCTTTTGTGTCGGCACAACAACGGGCTTTGCCAGAGTGCTCCTACACGTACATGTCCTTGTTAGTGTGTGTCCTAGTGGTTGGAGTCTCCTTCCACTGCCATCGACTCTCGATGGCCCTTGGTTTGCCGGATATACGTATTAGTGCCACGATTCCCGGCAAGATTCGCATTGCAATCGCAAAGTAAATGCCTTAATGCGCTTATCCTTTTAGCGTCGGTTGGGCACCTAACCATTTCCTCCTTTCCACCAGCAGGACCTTTCTCTCTCTGCTCTGCTCTGCTCTGTTTTTCGCTTAACTTGTTATATTTTTTTCCTCCTGCTGTGCAAATATTGTCGCCATTGCTGTCCTTGGGTTTAAAAATAATTTGAATGCTCTGTGACTTGCTGCTGACGGTGGAAGTGAGAAGGGTATTACTTTATAAGCAGCTTTTCAGCTAAGTAGCAACTTTTAAGTTTTTGTTTTTTTGGGTTTATTTAGCTAAAACACACCTAAAAATATTAAGGTCTGACACCTTGTTAAATGTGTTTTAGGCTACTCACATTTACATTTATTAAAAATTAAATACAGTGCAAATAATACTGATTTGGAGTGACCTGAATGCCATGTCCTGTCACTTTGTGTCCCTTTTTCTGTCTACAAATATAGAATTTCCCCGAAATCCAGTCAATTTTCGCATTCTCACGCCTCACTGACCGATTTCCTCGAAATGCCAGGCGGGCTGTCAAATATTTGCACGGTTGTTAAATTCTATCAATGGCATGTCACATTGCCCCATCGATAGCCATTTTTCATGTTTGGAAAGCACAAAGCCAGATTCCGATTTCATTCGGTTGAAACTATGCTAATTAACAAGCAATTAAGGCGGCAGAAGAAGTTTCCAAAAGCACAGCTGTTGCACATCGAGCTGCAATAATTCCGGCAAAAGTTAACTTTGCACCGAAACCCACAAAATGGCGGGCAGGCGACTTCCGCTTTCCGATTCACACACACATATATAGAGCACACAAGGAAGCGAGGGAGCCACATCGAACGCCATTGTTTATTTAAGCCAATATCCGTTATTTAAGTTGAACTTCCTTCCGCCAGACATTCGTTGTTATTGTTTGCTTTTTGTTTGAAATATTTAGTGCTGGCACAAGTGCAAATAGCAAGCAATGGCGGCTCTCTTTATTTGCACAAAAACTTCCACAGACACAACAAAAACAGTCGTCTGCGGTGGACAAAGTTCAGCCAACGAAAGTGTGAAGTCCCAGCCATTATATAAACTTTAGCGGAACTCGTAAACCGAAAGAAGGACATGCTATAAATTGCCATGTGAAAGCATTGCCAAATTTGTCAGGTTTTAAGGTATACTCGTAAGAACAGGGGAATACTTAAAAATTTGAACAAAAATTTCCATCAAATCAGCATTGACTTAAAATTTGTTTACTTATGTATTCTCCCTATCCCAAGATTTCAGTTCAACGTGAACAAACGTTCCGACAACACCAAATATTATTGATATTTTCGTTTTCCTAATTTTGCATTTAAGTAAATTTCGCTGAAAATAATAGTTCAAAATTTTAGTTGAAACAGTATGGTTAATAAATATAATTCTAGTGATTCTACCACATCAAGCCAGAGCTCTCTCCAACCGAATGTAAGTACTAACAGTGGCAACAGCCGTGAAAAGCTAATGCAAAAAAAAAAACCCACGTTGATCCCAAGGGTAAATATGGGAAAACTGCGAAAAGGGCAAAGGGCAAGGCGAAGAAGCCAAGGAAAAGCTATGATACCAAAAAGCCCAAGGCTAACCTCAAGAACAAGATATCAACTGTCTTAAAGAAGAGATCTTCGATTTGGCAGAGTGACCAATTGGAGAAGCCCTTGAAGCAAAAGACCACGAAGTCCAGGAAACCGAAGGTCGAGAAGCAAGTTGTAGAACCACTAGAAGAAAAAGTTTCATATGACGAGCAGATAGAGCCTCCCAATCAATTGCAAAGCGGACCAAATCGAGCTGTCCCAAGGAAAGTCGAGCCTGAGGAAGTAGAGTCTACTGACAATACAAATGACAGGGAACTAAACTGGGTAGAATGGCTAACTACAAATAAAGATTGCAAGCCTCCGAAGCCGCTACAGGACTTTCGAACCAAAGTTATGGCAGAATTTTCGATGCCAAAGAAAGGATTCTCAAATCAACAGAAGAGCATTATAATGCCGGATTCCCGTTATCCACGTCGAGATGTGCTTGTTGAATCTACATTACCGAACGGTTTACAAGTTCTGGCAACCCCAAATATTAATAATACAAATTATTTGGAGTCCCGGCAGCCAATGGATTTAGAAGTGCGCCGGTGTCCAGCTCCTGATGTTTCAACTAGGAAGCACGAGGCAGACGAAGATGATAATGAAGATCCCTTTTATAGACCGAGAACATTAATAAATGAAGGTCAAAATGGCTTGAGCCCCAGGCCAATTCAACGTGATCAAGATACTTTTGCCCAGATGCAATTCGTGAAGCAGAAGCCCACCAGGAGGTATTTATTATTATTATTATTTTTATTTTATTATAAGTTTTATTATTTTATTATTTATTTTGTTATTTAAGCCGAGAGCCTGAACCAGTTTCACCGATCGCTGAATCAACCCGATCTATTATCGAACATAGGCCCCAGCATTCCAGGCATTCATTCAATGAGACCGATTCCGACATATTGCATAGTCATAACGAGCCACCTACTAAATTCAAACTTGACCAGAAATGCAAAACCAAGGCTAAGAAGGCTAAGCCTAAGCAGAAAAAGCAAAAGAAATCGATGCCGAAGAAAAAAAAGGCGCCGATATTAAAACAAAAGCCTGGAATCAAGTTGGGAAAAAGAAAGCGATCAAAAAGGCTCTGGCCAAGAAGCGATCCCTGGAGAAGATAAATCCAACCAGACCTTGGTTTCTCCGGTGGATATGGCCCAGCTTCAGTGTCTCTGAGTAGGAGTAATAAGTTCTTGTAAGTGTCTAGATCCTGCTAATTTCAAATTGTGTTTAAAAATTCTATAGTTTCAGATGGGATTGCCACTCTGCCAGGCTGCACCTGTAGTTGGCTGAAAACTTTGCCATTATCTTTGGCCGTAGAGGAGGGTGGAGGTAAGGTTCTCCGTTTCAACATGTTTGGGCTAATTAATGTCAGAAGAAGGTATTGCAGCATCCGGCAGCCATTTTGCTTTCCACCTGTACCAGGACAATTGAAATTTAAAGCCGGAAGTTTATTATGGCAACAATGGGAACTCTGTCGTTCAAGAAACGCTGACCAGAACTAGTTCTCGCCGTGCATTGTGCGCGGCAACGTTTTTGTTTGAAATTAAATCCCAGTGAAGAGTACGTAGTATAAATGCAATGCAAACTTTTTCTTATTTTTTACCTCTCCCCCTGCAGGTGAACTGACGCTCTAATTGTTGTCCGGGCATCCCAGCTTCTGTTGTTCCCCGGTTATCTGCCCCGGGGCACAGGCTCTTGTTTTCATTTCTAAATATATAAATTTACCTAACTAGTTCCCTTTGCTTTTCCTTTTATTTATTATATATTTTAGTAGAAAACTACCTTTAAATTGGAAACCTAATGAGCAAACCCCATTGCGAATAAAAATTAAATTCAAAGGGCGTATTACGTGCTGCTGCCCGCATAATTGCGCTTAAAATCGTTTAAGTGTTTTATAATCCAGCCCCCTTGGTGCTCTGTGGCCACTTTAAGCGATGTGTGCCATCCATTCCGAGTCCTGTGAGGATTTTGCAAAAATTAAAAAAGAAAATAACAGGGGAAAGCAAACCGAAATGGCTTTTTAAAGCGATCCTTTCACTCCCTTCCTGTGCGTGTGCGTATTTTTGCTTGTGTGTGTGTGCCGGTCAGTTAAGGCTCTTATGGACGCACACTCACACACTCGCACATGTGAGCCATTAAAAGCGAAGCAAAATTTTTGCACGCCGCTTGCGGATTTTTGGCGCTTTTCTTTGTGGCCACCGATGCCACAGTGGCATGTGGCACATTCGCCAGCGGTGCAGTATACGTGGAAAATGGGTTAATTACGTTGGCGGTTGGCTCTTCTATAGCCAAGAAAATTAGCTGGTAGTGAGTGGAGAGACAAGAGGTTTTATGTTGAAAATATATTAAGAAACTTATATAATATTTTGTGATATTTTGGGAGTGGGCCTGCTCTTTGACTTCATTTTTTCCTTTTACTTAAAGCCCTGGAATATGAAATTTATTCATACATTCTGGTAGCATATGAAAATGTACTCAAGGCACCTTTGAGCTTCCGCTCCACATTCACCGCAACTTTTGCCTCAAATTGAGGTCACAATTGTGTGAGGAATCCGTCTGCGAACCCAAATACATTTCATCCCGACAAACACTTCATGGGACAGAGCCACTCGAGGAGGCAGCCCAGTAGCACTTGCTGGAATTCACAGGGAGAAAAAAACAGAGTCCCCACTTACCCGGAACTTAAGACACTCGAGTGCTGCTGCTGCTGCTGCTGGGAGGAGGAGCAACAGATGCAGATACAAGTTACAGGTACACACATATGCAAATGCCAGGTGAGCCACTTAGGGGTAACCGCTCTCTCTCCCTCTCCCTCTATATGACGTACCTGCAGGAGACAAACAACAAATAAGCATAAGTAATAATGTCCCATGAATATGAATATATATTTTTTACTTTCATATTCCCCTCCTATTTTTAGTTACTTCGTTCTTCCTGGGGAAGTGTGCTTATTTAAATGGCAAACAAATAGACAGGCGGCCAGCAACAGCAAAGGACCCTGGTCCTTGGTCCTGTGTAACCGAAACTGTCGACAGCCTTTGCCCTTCTCCCACAGCGCTTAAATCTTTAGAAAATATCTAAATTGTTCTCTGTGGCTTTTGTGTCAGCTGTCTCGCCCAGACAATGTGTGTGTGTGTGTTTGTGTGTAGCATGTGCGACGTGCATTATGCTGTGTTTTTGACTCTGCCACAAGCTACGTAAAATATCCTGCCTCGCCTCGTTGCCTGTGAAATGAACTTCATTGTAAGCCGCTCTGGGGATTTGCTGTGACAAATGAAATTTATAGTTCTCCGATCCGATCCCTGGACACGGAAAACGGAACTGCAAAAGCTGCAAATCTCTGAATGCTGGAAATCTAATTCATCTTTCAAATTAGAAACGTATTTTTCTGCATATGGGATTTTGGTTAAAAAGAGCAAGTCAAATTGCAATGTCTTTGAATGGAAACTATAAGGGAAGTATAAGTTGTTATTTAATTGAATATTTAAGACTTTAAAGCTAATTTTAGTAAATAATTTAAAGTGAAAGATGAGACATTAATGATTCATAATAAACTTTAAACTCATTTTAAATTGTTTTCGTATAGTTACAAGGATATTTTGTATATATAACTTATAAATATCTGTTCATATAACTTAAATATCTACCGGGTATCAAGCTGGCTAAACCATCAGCATTTTTGAGGCACATTGCATTGCTGTGGAGCGACCCGCAACCGACAATGGTCCTTTGTGCACATGTGACATGCAGCAGCCCCAAAAGTGGCATAAATAAAATTTCATAGCATGCTTTTTTGCGCCACAAAAAGAAACTGAAACTGAGAGATACTCATGCGAACCGAGAGATACATAGATAGATAGAAACCATTCGTCATGTATTTGCTGGACAGAGAGATGTTTTATACATCCCATCCATCCATCATGTAACGAATGGGACAGCCCAAGTCATTAGGCTGATGTACTTTAAATTTGTCAAAAGGCAAAGGGGTGACGACAGTGCGGGTTTAATCATATTTATCAAAGGCCAGGGGCGAACGGGTGACAGCTGTTTGTGGTCGGACAGTGACGTGGTCAGCCGGATGCATCCGGGGGGCGGCCTGTTGCATCGCCGCCCCTCTTGAAAATCGAGAGATGTCCTGTGCCTGTGCCCCTCTTGCTAATCTAATAAGTTGCCTAACAAACCGCAACGATGGCAGCCTGTAATACCAAGTCCTGGCGAACAGCAGGCGGGTTGTTGTGGTTAATTTTGTGAGAGACAGCTCCTCGAATAAGGATGTATTTGGAGTGTGTGTGAGTGTGTGTGCAAGTGGATGTGTATGTGGCATGCACTTGCGGTTGCTCTAAGATTTGATTGCAACTGTTATTAGAGCACGCTTGGCTGCACGAAAGTCTCCCCAACTCACTGAGGAGAAAGTGTCCACCTCTTTTGAAGGGAGTATTTACGAAATTTATATTAAATTTCAGCTATTAAAATTAAATACTCTTGAAAGTATGACTTTTATAATATTTTAGTAATTTCAAATATATATTTTGAATGGCCTTTCAGGGTATAATAATTTTAGTAAGAAGCTTAAAACGCAGAGAATGAATCATTTCCGCCCCTATAAATCATATATATTCTTGATCAGCATCAAAAGGCGAATCGATTTCACTTATTCCGGTTAAAAAAAATTTTTAGAAAATTTTTCGATTATTTTTAACAAAAATTTGGACAAAAATGGGCAAAAATAATATTTTTTTTACATTTTAAATTGAGTATGCAGTTTTATTGCCTACATTATTAACTAACATAGTAAAGGTTTCCGAACTGAAATTAATGCATTTTTGGCATAGTTATGCGTTTTTTTAAATTTGATTTGTCGAAAGAATTGTCCTATAATTCAATAGGAGAGTTCAAGAGTATAAACTTTGGCTTTCCGAAGTTAGTTTCATATATTCCTTTTGTTTTAGTGGATATAATTTAGTTGAAACATAATTCACGCACAATTTTAATCGTAAACATATGGTAAATATTTTCTACGTCAACTAGCATCTTTGGGAAGCAAAATCCCATATTGTGAGAACATTTCTCTGGGTGCATTTTGTTCTCCCCTCACTCTCTATCTCTCTTAAATGCGCTTGACTGACTGCCGAATTTCGAGTGGCGGCTCCACCAGCATTTGTTTTAAAATTAAAGTGCAGAGCAGCAGCATCAGCGGGCTTTCCCAGCTTCTTTGTCTCCTGCCAGAATCACACTATCCTTTTTCCAGTCGATTCTGCGGCGAGGACCATGGGGTGCTCTTTTCTGTGGCGTATGTAGTGCCTGTACTATATCTGAGTTATGTGCCGCAGTCAGGGCTGCTGATTAAGCGAAGCATCGCAGCGCCGCGGGCACATCCTTATTGTTCCATTCAGTTTTTGGTCCTTTTCTTTTTCCCCCGAACTGCGGGCGGTGCGGAATCGCTGGCCCCGTGTTTGCCATTGAACAGAGCGCTCGAAAGTATGCTTTGTGCTTTTCACGGAAAGTATATGAAACATGGTTGTGTTTCAAACCAAAGGAAAGCAAGAGATTCCCTTCGAAAGGACTTTAAGAGTTGAGTTGGGAAAAATAGAAGAGAGTTGAGCTAATGGGAAATCCTTGAGATTAAAGCTACTTAGAAGTCAAAGTTTGAAGTTTGAACTATACGAAAATGAATGAATCTATAACACTTTACCTTCCTTTCAATGATTCAATTTATAAAGAATATGAATAATAAATAAAGCTACTATATTTGTAATATTGTTTTATTTAATAGAAGAGGCATAAATGCCATTAAATTACCTCAGCTCTTTAACTCTATTTAAACCCCCTATTCTCACATAAATAATCAGTTTCATAATTAATTTATTTCAAGTATTAATAGTCCTTCATAAATCTTCAGCGTTTAATATTAAATGGTTTTTATGTTCAGTGTTCTGATTATGAAATAGTTCATAACTTACAATTGTGCAAACAAAGTGATTAATATTTAAACTCGCATTAACATTTTTTCTTTATGGAAATTAGTTGTGTATGATATTCGCCAGTTCAGATGTCACTATAATGCAATTAGCGGCGTTTTTTTCCACTTAAATGTCAAACACAAACGCAATGAGAGATTATTTAATTAACAATCCATACAAATTAAATACAAATATTTGCACAAAGCGTGTCAAATTAGATTATATAAAATTGTACACAAAACAATGTCTATTGCATTTGCCCGCAGACCCACAAAATAGAAAAAAAAGAGTACGAGTTATACAATGTAAATAAATAACTGAATTGGGCTTACAAAGTCATTAAAAATAAACGAGGCGGCGGACAATAAATATTTAAACAAGCCGCGAGACGATGCTTAGTTTCTCTCTCTTGTTTCTGTGGCTGTTAATGTTAATTAATTTCAACTAAGCGGCTTATACACATAAATAGTGAATGGATGGGCTCTGGCTCTGGCTCTGTGGCAAAGCCGACAAGATAATTATTAGTTATTTAAACAGCTTTTGTTGCCTGTTCCATGTGCAAATGACAACAGAATTGCAATGCCCAGGGGCTTATATTGATTGCGTTGTCTCCTCTCGGGATATATATAGCCTTCCCTCCTGCAGCATAACAATAAATAATGGCATAAATCATTTAATTGCCTGACCCCGTTTTCCATGTTTCGAAACTGAAACATTAAAAAATGATATAGACAGAAGTGAAATCCCTGGAATATAGGGACAAAGGACTGAT